CGAATTTTAATTCAGCTCACTAAGCTAGAAACTTCTGATCGGCTTTCCATCCTTGAGATTTGCTTTCTTTAATCTTTTTCAGGAAAAAAAATTCAGTGAGATTTTTTTCAAAGCTAGTTTTAAGATAAAGATCGTGGATGGAAAGATTTCACATAATTCATTAGTGAAATGATGTACAGGTAAAAAACAGCAGCCAAATAATTCAGTCAGGGTAGCATTGACCTAGGTGCTAATAATGTGTTAATTTCTATTAGGGAGATGGCAATGTATGGCAACTGGGCAGGGGAAAGGATTTAGCTATTTTTCATTAGCACTTGGACTTTGATAAAGGGGAATAGAAAAGAGCTGCTTGACCTTTCAGTGCTTAAATTATTAAAGAGCAAATAGATTTGAGGTCTGGATGCTTGCAAATCTAATTTGTCTTGTGGAGCAAGGATGAAAAGACATTTGGGGTGTGAAATTGCTCCAGTCAACTTAGTTCTTTCTTTAATATATCTGGAGATGAGTAGATGGTATCCATTTAAAAAGTAATATGTCTGGAGTAGACTGTATAATATAACTAATACTAGCTGGCTAACAAAAAGGAGACCCATAAGTGTTCATTTAGTTCTCAAATTTTCTCTAAATTGTTGATTGATAAAAGTAATATTTTTCACCCGTAATTACATAGATGGTATTTAAGTTAACCAAACACAATTTTTTTGTTTCACTAGGGAACAATAGATTGTATTGTTTAAGTTAAAGCAGGGCAATGCCTGACATAGTAGGCACTGATTTAGTAAACAAAGAACACACACTCATACATTACACTTAATGTTTAGGGTGGAGAAAGGGTGGATGGATAGCGGGAGATGGAGGTGCAAGAGGGTAGAGAAAACATGAAGACTTAAAAATTCCCTTGGTGTTCATTATTTAACTGCTGGTTACCCACTACATTGTATATACGTATATATAATATATATACGTATATATATTTATATATACGTATATATAATGTATGTTTATATATATATATATGTATATATAATGTGGGTAATCAGCAGTTATATATATATATATATACACATATGTATATATATATATATATCCACACACACACATATGTGTGTACTGGGTAATCAGATATTCATACTGTCTCTTTGTTTGTTTTTTTGTTTTTTGTTTTTTTTACTGAAGGTTGGCACTCTTACAACTTGAGCCACTGCTCCACTTCTTGCTTTTTGTTGGGTAATTGTAGATAACATTCTCTCAGATTTGTCTGCCTGGCTGGCTTCAAACTTTGATTATTAGATCTCATTTCTTGAGTAGCTAGGATTACAGGTGTAAGCCATTAGCTCCCAGTAAGTTATCTAAAATAAATTTAACCAGCACCATATGTTTTCCTTGGTAAATTTCTCCTCTTTTAATCCTTAGGTATTAAAGATGTAACTATAAAATTAGTTTCATACTAAATTTTAGTAAAGTAAAGCACACCTAGGAATATCAGTGAGCTTCATTCTAACTAGCATATATCATGTATAATATACCCCCAAATACAATGAAAGTGACTTTTGGATTGTTATGCTTTCAAACATAGCTATCACGGCCCAGTTTATTAGAAGACACAAGACACAAAAATAACTTAACCATAGCCTTCCTGAATCCTCTAAGAACTTAAAAACTTGAAAGTAATAATTATATCAGTATATATGGTCCTTTTTGCACACATATTTTTCTGAGTTTGGAGCAGAGCAAGAGTATATGAAACTGTGGAACCCATAGTAAATCCCTGGAAAAGTCACAGAGAGTTCCTAAATTTAATGAGAATCTTCCTGCTGAGAATTCCCAGCTAAATAAAAAGCTCATGCCTGAAATCCTAGCGACTCAGGAGGCTTAAATGTGATGATCAAGGCTTGAAGCCAGCTCAGGCAGACAAATCTTATCTCCAACTAACCTGCAAAAAGTTGAAGTAGAGCTATGGCTCAGATGGTAGAGTGTCAGCCTTGAGTGAAAAAGCTTAGGGAGATCACAGTCACTATTGCAAGTCTCTGAGTTTAAGCCCTAGTGCCAGCACAAAAACAAATAGATCAAAGAACTTTACAACTTTGGTAGGGGGGGAGGGAGGAAGAAGGATTGGGTGGGGGAGAATGGGAAGGGATGAGAAGGGGAAACAAAGGAGGAGACTACAATGCTTGATAAGAAATGTACTCATTATCTTGCCCATGCAATTGTAACCCCTATGTACAGTATTTTCACAATAAAAAAAAAAAACAAAAACAAAGTAGATCAATAAACAGATAGACAGATAGCAGACTTCTGCCCACTAACCCAAGATGAAAGAATAGAGACAAAGAGGTTTCCTTCTGGAGAAGTCAGGATTTGGTGACTTGGAAAGTCTGGACTGTGCTTTTTCCTGGAGTCAGTTTAGAATTAGGAGGGAATCTCTCTGCAGGCAGAGAGATGAGAAGATACCAGCCTGGTACTGAAGTCCTTGTGTAGTCCAAGGACTTTAGGAAAACGGGAAAAATAAATATACACATACTAGACCAGGTGGTAGTGTAGAATAATTTCTGCATTCAATATTTTCTTCACTTATATCTTCATTGTTCAGCTTTGTTTGCCACATAGACTTCCTAGAAGTTATTTTTTTTAACTAGAAATGTTCATTTTGTCCTACAGCAAATGAACTAGAAAAACTGACTCTTTGAGGGAAGTTGGTGTTATAATTTATATTATTGAAGAGTTCCTTTGCAAATCAAGTAATAATTTTCATGGTTTGTTCATTTTGTGAGAGCAATTCTTAACACGTTGAATATAAATTCTAGGTATTTGAAAGACACCATGTACATCCACCTAATTCTCTCATTTCCTAAGGAAAAAATGTATGCCTCCCTCCTCAAATTAACTTAAAGTAAATTAATTCAGTTGTTAGCAGAATTAGATTAAAGCCTAGACCAATGTATTGTCTTTTTTTTTTTTAATTTTTTTGCTTATGTGGTGCTGAGGAATCGAACCCAGGGCCTCATGCATGCAAGGCAAGCACTCTACCACTGAGCCACCTTCCCAGCCCCCAACGTATTGTCTTAACACTTCATAAAAGCAATCTCCAGAGGGTGGTTGACCTTTTTCAATGCTGTGTGAGTCTGATTGTGTTCCTGTTTAACTTCTCCCACAGCTGACATCTAATAAGGGACAGGTGGTATTTAGACTTTGTCCTTGACCCTTTACTCATGCTCTTAAACACAGATACATACTGGGAAAGTCTGGTTGGAAAAGCCAATCAAATAAATGGTCCAACCACCCTGAACACACCACACTCCATAGGACACATGTAAGGGGTCTGCTCCAGGACTGCAGGACTCCCAGCTGACAGACAGCAGCTTGTCAACCCATTTCAGTAGATTACAGCCAATGGAAAGTCTCTGATAAGAGGAAGTAAGATATTCCTTCCTGCTATCTCTCCTTTCTTCCCTGGCCCTCCCCTCCTCTTGCATTTGGTTTTATATTACTTGTAAACATTTATCATCACCCTGTAAATCTGTTGTACTACCTGTGAACAGGGCAGAAGTTCTAAAACAATTGATTTTTAGCTAAACAGAATGATAGCATGCACTTTACAACTGTGTTAAGAGGTTGTATTCACTAAGACAGAAGGTCTGTGTAAGTACAGGTTCAATCATCACACAGACAGAAGGTCTGTGTAAGTACAGGTTCAATCATCACACAGACAAGAGAGCCCAAGATGAGAGGAGTTAGGCATCCTGTCATGTGCTTCTTACTAGGAATTATGGGTAGCTGAACTAAAAAACACTTGAATTACATATTGTTATAGGGAATTGTGGTGCTTCTCTGTTACTGCAGGGAAAAGATACATCTCATCTTCTAGAAGAATTTGCTAGAAGGATTTTTCATCTAATTGGAATTCAGTTTGTAAAAGCTATTGTCAAGGTTTAGTTTCTTCTCACCAGGAGAAACCAGTGAGAGGAAAGTACACGAAATGTTCATTATTCTAGCAAATTTAAATGTCTTAATGTTTTAAAAGGTCCATCCTTCAAGGTTTCTTTCATACTTCTGAGGTTATTGAAAATTAAAGACCTTGGAAGTGCATGAGCAGATGCCTTTGATCTGTTCCTCAATGGGTGAGGCCCTCATTCTTGCAGGCGTTTTTGAAATTTCTCATTTCCATCTTATCCTTGTTTATTATTTACTTTTAGAAATGACTTCTAGCTCCAAAAGCCTTGGTTTTCTTTATTTCACTCCCTTTCTTATGTCATCTTTGACTGAACATGGTCCATGGCAAAGGAATGTAAGGCAACATTACTTAATATGAATCACCACAGAAGAGTGTTGGTGACTTGACAAAACTTCATGCATTCACACATATGCCATGGAAGAAATAAATACAGTGACTGTGTCTTTGTAAACCTACAGTCAATATAATTTCATTTCTCATGACAGCCAAGTTAATGTTCTGCAAAACTATCTTCAGTTACAGGTTTTATTGTCTGACTTATAAACAGTAAAATTGTCACATATTTTTTAAATTAGAATGAATTTTGTTTCTCTCAGTAAACTGTTAGTTTGATATAGAGCCAATGACTCATATCTGTAATCCTAGCTACTCAAGAGACTTATATCTGAGCATTTGATTTTGAAGCCAGCCTAAGCAGGAAGAAGTCTCTTACTTTCAAATAACTACCAAAAAGCTAGAAATGGAGGTGTGTCTCAAGTGATAGAACACCAGGCTTGAGCAGAAAAGCTAAGGGACAGTGCTTAAGCCCTGAATTCAAGCCCCAGTACTGGTACAAAATAAACTAGTCAGTGAGTGAATGAATTTAATAACCTGTTCATTAAGCAAGAGAGAACTGAGGAAGAAGACTGTCTACTGGCATCACATACGTATTATTGTATATTTTTTATTTCAGGGTGTTTTCTACTTCATATACAGTTCTATGTAAGGAAGGTGGCATGGATCAGTTCCATTATCATAATATGTCATCAACAATTATATTTTTTTCTAGTGTCTATCAAATAGTTGTTGAGGAAGAGCGTCCTCGAAGAACTAAGAAGACAACAGAAATCTTAAAGTGCTACCCAGTGCCCATTCACTTCCAGAATGCATCCATATTGAACTCACAGTACTACTTTGCTGCTGAATTTCCAGCAGACAGCCTCCAAGCTGCTCAGCCTTTCACAATTGGTGATAATAAGACATACAATGGATATTGGAACACCCCCCTCCTTCCCCATAAAAGCTACAGAATTTATTTCCAAGCTGCTAGTAGAGCCAATGGGGTAAGTTTTATAAATGACTGTTTATTTAGGCTATTTGGAATTATTAATGTGAACCTTGGTTAAGTAAGATAGTAGGAGAAAATGAAGTCATACAAGTCACACAAAGTGTGAATTTCCTTGTAAATAATTTTATCATTTTCAACTAGAGAAATTTGTGGAAGAAATGAGTATACCCATTTATTTTTGGTTGGGAAAGCATATTGTCAATGTGATTATTTTAATTTTTAGATTTTCTTATTACCAAAAGTTGGCTAGTCATTCTTATCTTAGGTTACTATTTTACAGGAAAATACTATAGCTATAACACATATGTTGAGCTCATTTACAATTTTTGTAAAATTGTAAATTTTACATCTGCCTTTTCATCCTATTCTGCCTCATTTCCTTAGCTTTAAAGCCTTTATGCCAAAAAAAGTAGATAGCTGTGGCTATGTTTGAGGCCTTTTTACTTGTAAAATGATAAAACAGAACCAAAATATATCATTTTCAAAGTTTTCTCCCTCTCTGTTTAGATTAACCTAGGACTTTGAGAAAACTTTAGAGTCATCTCAGATAACAAATGTGATGACTGATATTCTGTGATGATATCTCCCCTTCAAAACATAGATCTGGGTTTCATGGTCCACTTGACCTTTATCAGAAAAAGTGGGGAAAATCCAGGATGCAGAATTCTTCCCCAGTGTTCTTTATATAAAGAGCAAGCACAGGTCTTAAGTACGAATCTGAGCCTAGAGCCACCAGGAAAGACATTTCATGTGTTGCTCCTCCTGTTCATCTTGTCTGGAAATGTCTACCACCAATGGTCCTGGAGCTAGAACATGTATCCAAGCATAGTTCACACAATAATTATCACATGCTAGTAGCTATACTTGGAAAAGTGATGTTTCCTTATCCATATTACTCAACTGGAACTACATTTGCATTACCTGAAAATAAATATGAATAATAACTTTACCTCTTTATATTTGCTACAGGAAACCAAAATTGACTGTGTCAGAGTGGCCACAAAAGGTAGGTTGAAATGTGGGATGATCTCCTGGTTTATATTTTTCAAAATTTATCTTCTGCTGTGTTCCAAAACCTCTTGAAATATAAATTCATTGAATTTAAGTATGTATGTGTATTTGTATGTAAAGGTATCATGGAAACTTTCAAAGTTTATATTGACTATTAAGTGTACATGTTTCTTAAATGAGAAACTATTGCTTTGTTCCAAGTAGTTTTTCATGGTTATCTTTCAAAACTCATTTTAAATGGTATTACTTTTTATATGATGGCAGTATGCATGTTTTAAGCCACAGCATAGTAGCTGCTAAAAGTGCATTCAGTAAATTTTCATATACAAAGAAATAAAATATCTCCATCCCCCTTGTGTGGCCTAGACTGCCCCCAAGTTCCTGGGCCCAAGTGATCATCCCACTTGATGATAGCTAGGACTACAAATTACACCACTGTGCCTATCACTGCTGTTTTCTAGCAGTGGCAGAGTTGTAATAACGCTGAAAGTCTGCATAGACTTTTTGTCAATGCTGATGCTTGTTTATTAACCTGTAGCTGGTTACTATTACTGTGGAACTTGCTTCCAGGCCTGCTTAAAAACCTAACATATGCGACAGAGGATGAGCATTGAGAGTAGATAGGATGACTGCATACCTTCTTCATGCAGCCAGCACTCCCTAAGGAAATGCGCCCCTTTGTCCTTGCACATGCACAGAAATGTCTCATTGACTTTATAGCAACACCTGACCATCATATACAGAAGAGCATGAGAAAGTAACTGGGATTACAGGCATGCACCACCATGCTCTTCACTATTTAGATATATTTTTAAATAGTTGACTTTTTATAGCATGTCATATCTAAGTTGTTTGATAGGAATCAATTAGTAATGAATTGAATGGAATTATAACTTTGATTATGTTTCATATATGTACTAGCAGCTATTACCAGAATATTCAGAACTCCCAAACCAAGTATCCATGTAGATCCATCTTAGATCCTTAGGTCATGGCTGTGCCTGAATATGACTTTTTGAAATATTATATTATGTCATTCAGTTTCCCTTATGGTCTGAAAGGTTACTCTAATTCCAAGTGCCTAATTTATAATGCCTTATGTTTAACATCACAGCTGAAAGTTTTGAAATCAAGTTCATATATACATGTGTTCTCATGTATTTCTTCACTATTACTAAGAAAAGGGAGACAAGTGCTGCTACTCTTTTAAAAAATTTTTATGTACTTATTTTTGCGTGTTTGTGCTGGTCTGGAGGCTTGAACTCAGGGCCAAACACTTTCCCTTAACTTTATAATTTAAGGCTAGCACTTTACCACTTTAACAGCTCTTCTTTAGGCTTTTTTTTATAGTTAATTAGAGGTAAGAATCTCACATATATTTTTGCCCAGGCTGGCAAAAATATACTTAGATCTTGCCTCCTGAGTAGCTAGGATTGCAGGCATGAACTATTGACCCATGGCCTTACTCTTATTTTTAAGGTGAAGAAAAATGGATTTGGGGCATGAACTGTTTTATCAGGGTCTCTCTTCTAATAATCTGTGAATCAGGGCGTGGTTCCAAGCACTTGGACTCAGAGTGTCTTCACCTTCATCTCATGCTTAAAGCCCAGCCTTATACTAGAACACAGTATGAGCATCTGACCTTGAGTCACTGCTCAGTTTACTGGGGGAAAAAAACAACAAAATACCTGTCATTTACATAGTTAAACAATTATATAAATAACAAATCAGTATATATGAAAGCCTTACAAGTTTGGAGTTTTCACAATGGGTTTAATTTAGATGGTGATTTGGATCATTTTCTCCCATCAGTCAGAGTCCATCAATATTATCATTTGTTTTTCAGTTCACCAAAGTATGATTAGGCAAACGAATGACCTGATTCATGGAATATTCCCCATTTTGTATTTTCTGATCACTTGCAAACATTTACACAGCAACAAACTCTGGCCACATAATTTCATTGGGAAGGAAAGATAGGAAGAAAACTTTTATTCACTGCCTAACTTACTCATTTCTGCTTCATGCAAACACAGTAAGGTAGGAAATCTTAGGAACTAATCCTCCCGTGGGCAGATGACACTGTTGTATGAAGTTGTATTAAGTTCTACACAGTCAGGTTCACTGACTCCCCGTTATGACACAATATATTGGCCACCACCTTTATAATGAGAAATTTTCCCTTCTATAAACTAAAAATTCCTTGTATAGCACAGGAAGCTATACATTCCATCTATTTTCACTGTTGAGTCAAAACAGGGGAATACATAGATCTAGTAATGTCATTGGCATCATGTAACAAAAGATGTTTGAAATTCAAGAGTTCGGGAAAACCCTGAGTAGGGGAGGGAGGAGTTGGGGAGGGAAGGGATGGTAGGGGAAAAACAAAGGAGGGGGTAACAATGCTCCATAGGAAATGTACTCATGACTTATTCATGTAACTGTAACCCCTCTGTATACTAATTTTACAATAAAACACATAAAAAAGATTGGACATAAACCAAAGGCCTTTTAAATAAAAGAACATTTAAAGAACCATAGTAGGGGCTAGGAAGGTGGCTCAGTGGTAGAGTGCTTGCCTTGCATGCATGAGGCCCTGGGTTCACTTCCTCAGCTTCACATAAGCAGAAAAAGCCAGAAGTGGCGCTGTGGCTCAAGTAGTAGAGCGCCAGCATTGAGCTGATGAACTGAGGGACAGCGCCCAGGACCAGAGTTCAGGCCCCATCACTGACAAAAAAAAAAAAAAAAAAAAGAACCATAGTAAAAGCCAGGTACCAGTGGATCACCTATAATCCTAGCTACTCAGGAAGCCACAACTGAGGATCATAGTTTGAAGCCAGTCAGTGCAGGAAAGTCGAAGAGACTTATCTACAATTAATCATCAAAAATACAGAAGTAGAGCTGTGGCTCAAGTGGTGGAGCACTAGCCTTAACCACAAAAATTCGAGAGTGCCGAAGTCCCAGGACCAGCACAAGGAAAAAAAAATAAACAAAAAACAAAAACCTGTAAATCAGAGTAATGGTCAGAACCTAGCAATAAAGGAAAACAAACTATTAAAAAAAAAAAACAAAACCAACACCTGAGTGATTTCCCCCATACTGCTGATAGCATTGGTGGCTTGGTTGATTTTTGGATACTAAGCAATTCCCCTAAGTAGCACTTCCAATGCATAAAGATGTAAAAGGTCTCATGAAACAGCTTTTGACAACCATCTTCAAACATGGAGGTGGATTTGTTTTACAGAGAAATAGTTTGTAATCTTAAGTAAGGGTTGTGTCTTTAAAAATGTACTTAATACTGTTTATAAATTAAATGTTGTGATTAATCCTACTCCAAACATGTATTTTGGTATTCATCATAGCAAATATAAAGCCTCATAAAAAATAGATACAGCAAAAATATACCTCAAGTGTATCTTACATATTTTTGTATTTTGAGGGTTGCCTATATTTTTATATATCCTGTTTCAATTTGTTCATACAGGTAAGATCCCTCTATATAGGCTCACATGGCAATAGGTTGATTGTTGACTAGAGACAAACATCACAAAATAGTCTCCCTTAAGATAAAATTGATACAAAACCAAAGACACCATATAATAAGGTATTTGTGATATTTGAATATGACCATTCTAATTCAAATCTATACCATGAAGTAAAAAACAGTTTTTCAATATTTTTTGTTGCTCCAAAAATTTTTTTTTTTAAAACTTGTTATTTTTTTATTATTGTCTATTCTAGTTTTCTAGTTCCCTCTGTACAGCATCTTTACAATAAAATAAAACTTAAAAAGATATGTATTATCTTTTATTATAAAATACCAATTAATAAATTTATCTGATTATTGAAATAAAATTAGAAAGAACTTTATAACTGCCACAATGATGTATATCCCTGAAGATTGATAATACTTAAGAATGTTTGTTTTGCATTTTTTCTAAAAGTTTTATGAAACACATTGAAGCTATGTTAGAGAGAAAATTTACAATATGTGATTTTTCAAATAATTTTTTTTTATTAATTTTTTATTAATTTTATTTTATTTTATTTTATTTGAAAACATACTGTACAGAGGGGTTACAATTACATGGGCAGGAAAATGCATACATTTCTTACCAAGCATTGCAGCCTCCTCCTTTGTTTACCCTTCACCTCCCTTCCCAGCCTCCCCCCTCCCCCCCACCCAATCATACCCCCCCTCCCTCCCCCCCACCGACATTGTAAAGCTGGTTTTGACATGACATTTTGTACTTCTCATTGTTGCAACAGGTCCACCTGAATCCTTAAACGACTTGTTTGTCCCCGTCTCCTCCACATGTTATACTGACATCAAATATAGTGAAAGCGGGGGTTACACTGTGGGGGAGGGACATACAAAGCAACAAAGAAATAATATTATAAATGCGTTAGAAACACATGCATGAATGAAACAAAAACATTAAAATACATATTTGAGGGTTCGTTTTCCTAACATCACATTCTCTGACTTTTTCCGCTTGACTCATACCTATACTAGATATTGCAAATAAGGGAAACCATGGGACCTATGTTTCTTTGGGCCTGGCTTACTTCACTTAATATAATTTTTTCCAAGCCTTTCCATTTCCTAACAAATGGGGCAATGTCATTCTTTCTGATGGAGGCATAGAATTCCATTGTGTATATATACCACATCTTCTTGATCCATTCATCTACTGAGGGGCATCTGGGTTGGTTCCATATCTTAGCTATGGTAAATAATGCTGTTGCTCCAAAATTTTATTTTGTGTTTTTTAAATCATAGTTGCATTTTTACAGTTGAATTCTTCCTCCCTCCCTCATTCTCCCTCCCTCCCTCCATCCCTTCTTTCCTTCCTTCCTTCCTTCCTCCCTCCCTCCCCCTCTTTCCCTCCCTCCCTCCCCCTCTTTCCCTCCCTCCCTCTCTCTGTCTCTCTCTATATCTCTGTCTCTCTGTCTCTGTCTGTCTGTCTGTCTCTCTCTCTCTCTCTCTCTCTC